TCCTCTCGTCGGACTGCCCGCGCCAAGTTGATGGGGTGATTTTCTGGGACGCCGACGGCCACCCGGGACTCCACATCCACAATGCACTGACGGAAGAGACCCACTGGGTGCCAGTTGTCTCGGCGTACCGGCACTTGGGAACAATTGCTGTGGCGAATGCCACACCGGAGGCGGAAGTACGATTCCGCTACACACAGGCCCTTGCACTCCTGAAACCACTCAAGCGGCGCCTCTTCTCGTCAACCACCTTCTCTCTCCAGCTTCGGCGCACTTTGCTTAGGTCGTTGGTTCTTTCCAAATATACCTTTGCTAGCTCCACTCTTCACCTTGGAGCTACAGTGCATCGCAGAACCTGGAGCCGGTTGTACATCCAGTTATGGAGTGGACTGCAAAGGAGGTGTGAAGGCGAAAAACAAGCCCACAGCTTCGCCGTCTTGCGAGACGCCGGTGCGACGTCACCCTTGCTCGCCATGGCACAGGCCCGGGCCTCCTTCTTTGCTCGGGTATTGCAAGTGGGACCCGCCACATTACTCCACTTTCTCCATGCCCATTGGCGTGCTGCCCCGGCACGCTCTTGGTTGCACCAGTTCCTGTTGGACATACAAGCAGTTACGGTCTTTGCTCCATCAGCCTGTGTCCTGCTGGACTCTGCCTGCCCAGTCACTGCTTTGATTGAGAGTCTCCAACAGGACTCGACATGGTGGTTTCGACAAATCCGATGTGCGATACAGGGATATGGTCGTGACTTGGACCGATGGGCTACACAGCCCTCTCCGCCGACCGCCGCTGCTGCCGGCATGCCTGACACACCCACACCTCTTCCGTACCGCTGCTCCTTGTGTCCTGCAGCGTTCCCGCTCAGGAAGCATTTGGCCGTGCACCTCTCTCGCAAACACGGCCTCATGAGTCCGGTTCGTCACTTCACTCCTGCCCCCTACTGCCAATCCTGCATGAGATGGTACCATTCCATCTCGCGTGCACAGAACCACCTCAAGCACTCGCCCAGCTGCTTGATGCGGCTTGTGCACATCATGAGGCCTCTGAGTTTGGAAGGCATTCGGGAGGTGGAAAAGGAGGAGAACGACCGGCGCAAGCGAGTCAAGCGAGGCAAGTGGGAAAGTGTAGTTGCTGCAGTGCCTCCGCTACCAATGTTTGGGCCACGACTCCCAATCTATGCCGAAGCCGTGTCAGACCTGGACGAGAGCGAACTCTCGCTCGAACGGATCCGACAACTCTATCGGCCACATCCGGCTGATGTTTCATGGATTTCCGACTACATCGCTCAGGCATCACAAGAGGGGCAGCGAGCCCTTTCCGTGGACTTTTGGCTTCGCAAGCCCTCTTCCTTTTCTCGGGGCGGTTGAGGGTTTCTGCTGTTTCACCGCTTTGTTTAGTTGCAAATTTTGGGTCGCGCCCAAATGGGCTCTACGGACCGAACCAGAACCAGAACCAGAATACTATTTTGGAGTTCCGTATCATGATTGTAGTATCAAATACTCGAAAACCGGTTCTAATGATTAAGGCCTTGTATCCTTTTCTCCTGTACTTCGGGACAAAAGACAGGCCGTGCTGTTGCCACACGTACAGAGCTTCTGACTGTCTGCTCCGGAACCGATCGGGAGAAGGGGCAACGACCAGGATTTCGAAAGCCCTAAACCCTAGAAACCCTAAACCCTAAACCCAAAACCCAAAACCCAAAACCCTAAACCCTAAACCCAAAACCCTAAACCCTAAACCCAAAACCCTAAACCCTAAACCCTACAAACCCTAAACCCCCGATGGCTCAAGGCCGGGGCTTCTTGAGGCGCGGGCATCTTATAGACCCAAGAGTAGCCTAGGAATAAAAAGGGTGCCCTTTTTGTTTTAAAGGGGCTTATAAGGGAACCTGAACCCCAAAAAAGGGAATAAGGGCCTACTCTAGGTCCTAGTCTTATAGGGCGTTGGAGGAGCTTCCAGGCTGGCAGTAACTTGCAAATCCGGCGGGATCGCCGTTACAAAGCGCTCTAAAGCCCTCACCCGCATGGTAGCAAGGCAGTTACCAGATGTTGTACTTCAAGGATCTTCAAGGGCCCTGTTCCTAAGAAAGGTTTAAGGGAAGGATTTAAATTCAATCCTGAGGGTCTAAGGTACCGGGACTCCTGTGCAGCCCAACTCTTAAAAGCCGCAAAGCTCCGTGCCGGTACCCGAAGTTTTCCAGCAGCCCAGAGCCCGAAGAACTCCCCAAGAAAAGGAAACATGGATGCATGGGATCTAGACGTTCAGCATCCTGGAAGCAGACAAGGGCACAAGCAACCACAGGACCGAAGGACCCAAAACCCTAAAGTAGTAAACCCTGAACCCTAAGCCCTAAAGCAGTAAACCCTACTGTTAACCCTAAACCGAAGAACCTGCCAGACGGACCAGAAAGCGACCCAGCAAACTCCCAAACCCACGGATCGATTGGGGTCTTACGCTTTGCTGCAGAGTTAAAAGCAAATTAATGACTAAAACGAAACGTACGGGATAAATGAGAGTATAGGAAATATGCAGAAAATATGTTACGACGGAAAGCTACTATCAAGCCTTATTAATTTGTAAAAGCAAACCAGTGCAAACCAGGGACCCCTTCGCCACTAAAGTCTTGAACCTCCGAAACTCTGCGAAGCTCGAACCCACTAGGGTTTAGGGTCTAGGGCTGAGGGTTTACGGCTTAGGGGCTCGGGCTTTGAGTTTAGGGTTTAGGGGTTAGGGTCTAGGGCTTGGAGTTTGGGGTTTGGGGATTAACTCGAAACCCAGAGCCCGGGCGTGAGCCCTGATCGCGTACCCCTGAACCCCCAAACCGGTTCCTCCTTAGCAAAGCCACGGCTTCCAGTGCGATGCAGCAGGCTCTTGATTTGGAGGAACATGCCCAATGGCTCCAGTAGGCTTGGCTTGTACCTGAAAGCATACGTGTGCCTTGGGATGTGTTGGAAACTTCTGATTCTGATTGATTGTTGCCGCTTCTGCAGTGTGCAGTCTCTCACCCTACCTGATCAACGAAAGCTGGATGATCTTCATATGGTCCCTCTAACATGCAGTGTATACAGTACAGACCCAAAACCATATTCTACTAACTATGCAAACACCCTCTTCATCCCTGATCGAAACCCCCTAGGCGACCTGAAACAGGGGCGGGAGAGTGGTGACGGATCATTGCTTTGAATTTCTCCAAAACCCAAGCCGAACCCTGAACTTCTAAAAGATGCATAACAAATAGAATAGAATTCTATTATATAAGGGTTACTACAAGAGTTGGTTCATGCATATAGGGGGAGTCATGGTTAGCATAGGGTTTTGCAGCATATTCTAAGATACAGACATACATACACACATATATATATATATATATATATCGAGTAAGGAACCAGGCTTCTGTACTGCAACGCCTGACACGCTGATTAAACCCTAAACCCAAACAAAGCTGCGCACTTGCGGCTGGGTCACTGACGGTCGACGTCGGCTCTCGCCGCTACGAGTCTCGCCACTGCTCGTGGCGCGGCGCCGTTAATTGCGCAGGTAAAAAGTGGCTGGTCAGCGAGATCTGGAGGCTGTCCATGCTGTGCTAGAAGCTCCTTGTGTAGGCTAAACCCTAAACCTCTGAACCCTAAACCCAGTTTACTCCAGGGTTTAAAGTTCCTTGTTTAGGATTTAAGGGCTAGGCTCCGGGAGTCGAGAGCTCTCAAGGGTTATAAGCTGCCTGCAAGGCTTCAACGGTCAATACGATCCAATAAGGGGCCCTTGGTACTCCGAACAGTTCTTTGGGGTATAATTTGATATAGTGAGGAACACTATTGGCAGCTATTTAAGCGTTTGCAAGCTATGCAGTTCATTCTTTGCCGGGGTCCTCCCCTGATAGAAGCCCTGGTTTGAGGATTTGTTTTTAAGTTTGAGGTTTAGTGCTTAGGGTATGATAACGGCTTTGTAGGGTTTCATGAGGTCCTGGTTGAGGAACCTAACCCACGTTATCATAATAAGTAAACTATCCTGGACCTGGAACCCTAAGCCCTAAACCCTGAACCCTTTGCCCTCAAAATTAAACCTCAAACCCGAACCCCCAAAAGTCTTAAGCCTGAGCCTAACCCTAAAGATCCCTACTATTCTAACGTCTGCGAAGGTTCAAGCAATTAGGAGATCAAACCCTAAACCTCAAACCCCTGAACCCTAAAGCCTAAACCCCAAACCCCTAAACCCTAAACCCTAACCCCTGCACCCCTAAACCCTAAAGGCTCACCCCCACACCCCTAAACCCTAACCCCTACACCCCTAAACCCTTAACCTTGAAAAGGCTTCTCTGTGAAGATTTTGGGTTGCAGGGTTTTGGAGAGGCTCCTTTGGGAATCAGGCCTCTGGTCAGGGCTGACAGTTCCGAATTTTTAAACGCTGGTCTGTGTCTTTTGTAAATGTGGTTTAAAGGAGTGGTCTTGGTGGTGTTAGAACGGATCGCTCAGCTCGTGCAGAATGCACACCGGCCCCGGTATCTCTACACACGAGACGCGAAATCCCTGCAAGCAAGTCTCATCCAGCGCATCCCAGCCGGTATCACTCGAAGACATTGCAGCGCTATGCAATGCCGACAAGCCGAAGCTGTTCCTGGGCACCACCCTGAACCCCAAACTCTAAACCCTAAACCCAGAGAAACTTTATGGGTTTGGAGCTGCGGGTTTGAGGGGTCAGGGTTTCAGAGTTGTCGAGTTCTCGTCTAGCTATACGATGATGTATTCCCTAAATCCTGGCAAAGTAACTCATCAAAGCACTGTTCTTTCTTGCATGGGCGTAGGGCGTGCACTTCTGGTAGCAAAGTGGTAGTTGGGGTGCCGGGTCCCTGAGCCCCACTTCGCCTCACTTCGACACTCGATAATAAGCCAAGCCCTGAGCCCGAAATCCCGGGATACGGACCCCAACAAAAACCCCTACGGTTGATGATATAAATCCTGCATTAGCCAAAATAAGGAATATACCATAATTCCCATAGTTTTGGGTCCTTAGCATAAACTCCGACCCAGTCTCTTGATGCCGAGGTCAGCTCTGTGACGGCAGAGGGTCTTTACGGCCTCTCGGCGGCTTAGAAACCAAGCTAGCGATCACAGGTTTGGGGCTGTATGGTTTTCGCAGCCGAAGTCGTCGTCGCAGCAGGTTGTTGTTCTTGAGGTTCTTATCTCCTCCACATCTGTTTGTGGTATCACCACTACTACTACCACTACTACTACTACTACTACTACTACTACTACTACTACTACTACTACTACTACTACTACCACTACTCCTCCTCCTCCTCCTCCTCCTCCTCCTCCAGGCGACTGTCGGATGGGGGTGCCTCCGGATTGTTCGTGAAGGCTGCAAAGTGCAGAGGTGGCAAGAAGATGTTCTCCACATTGATGGCAGCACGGCGCTGTATCAGGAGCTCGGCCACTTTCAGGTTCTGGAACTTGATGCTAATGCACCTGAAGCAACTCCGAACCTACGGACAGCCCGCGTTAAGTCACAAGAACCTTGGAGTTCGGGATCTTCGATTTTCGGGGCAAGCCGGATGGCTAACAAGACCCCACCATACACGAGGGTTAGGATTTCTGGGGTGATCGGGAGAGAACGCCCTCAACCATTGGACCCCGGTTTAGGTTTTAGGGTTTAGTGTTTAGGGTTTGGGTTTCGGGAACTGAATTCAGGTACCGAGGCACAGCACAGGGGTGCGCTTGCCAATGTCGGCATCCATTCGCGGCTTTCTCGTCGTGTCATTTGGATTGGCGCGGGCATCCAGCAGTGCTTGAACAATCGTGGGATCTCCTTTAAAACTACAGAAGGGCTGCATGCTTAGGGCGGGATAAACCTCCAATGCGACAACTATAACAGCAAAATCTGGTATGCTCCAGCCTAAATAGGAATTGATTGACTTCTATTGCTAGCGAGAAACTTTACAGCTCAAAATCCCTATATCAGCTTCCACTTGCCGAAATAACAGTGTTTGCCCATGTCATGCCATGTCTCCTTTCACAGCGGCATAACCTCAGTGCCGTTCTTTGCCGCTCCACCACGACTAAAGGCTGAAAGCCAAGCATTCCCTAGAAGTCCCGTATCTTTACACCCGGAACCCTCAAGCGTTCAAAGTACAAGAACACTATGATATGGGCCTTAACAACCAGAATTGGGTCTCGGGGTATATTCTAGAATACCTATCATCAGGCGCTCGGGTGTGCCAGGATCCAAAGGCTCACAAGTTCTAAAATCATCCCACCCCAAACGCTGCCCCTCCACCGAAACCCGCCGCCAACCCTCTTGCAACGAAATCTTTGTGCAAAGGCCATGTAGCAGATTGGTGTCCACCCCGCCGCATCACACTCATTGAGATGCTGGAATCCGTTTTGGTGCAGAAACCGATTCGTGTAGTTGCAACCTGGCGATCCTGGTCGGAGTTCGTTAAACCGCGGGGCTCGAAGGGCCTCAGGCTTTTGGGCTTTAGGGTTCAGGGTTTAGGGTTTAGTTTCGATTTGCTCGGCTAAGAAAACATTAGTCCAGCAGAAGCGTGGTGTTACACCTAAACGAAAACCTACCCGCCCCAAGAACTAAGAACCCCATAACCTTCAGAAAACAAGAAGTTTTCAAAGTCTCACGCAGCAGTGAAACCCTGTCGACACGCACTACATGTCAGTAATGCTGTAAGCAGATAATACCCTCCAAACGCAAAAAGATGCAACTAGCTTTCTCGACATTCAGGCCGTAGCAATACCCAATACGCACACGAATGCCGCTCCCGGCATGGACGAAAGCAGACCAGGGTGTGGCTATTTCCGGAGCAAAGCCTCTAACAACTAGCAGCCGATAGTCTGATGGCACTTTAGGAGCCGATCTGTTACAGCATCGTTCGGGTGGACTTCAGGAGCCAATCTGTCGCAGCATCTTTTGGTGAACTTGGCCGGTGGCTACTCCAGGATTACGAGTCTTGACAAAATGTCTCGGATGACACACGCTAGCACGTCTTTCGACAAACAACCCTCCAAAACAGGGATCAAATGTTGAGAAGCATTTGGGAGGAGGTGGCTGGTCTACGCTCACTAGCTTCAGTGTTGTTGTGGTCAAAAAAATACCAGTAGCATATAGTCGCAATGTTTATACAACCAACGCATGGTATATATACCCCAGAACCCTGGTCTGCTAATTCATCCTTCAATCTTATCGAACCCTTATTGTAAATTCTTATAGAAACCTCTTGACAAGCCTCTAACGAGCACTATTCCGAGTGTGTTATGATTGCTGTCAGTACTCTCCCCAAACCCTGAACCTGCACCCTATCCCTAAACCCTAAACCCTAAACCCCTATACATCCCAAACCCTAAAGCTGTGCGCTGTCCTGTGCCATCGAAGCTGGGCACTAAATCCTCCAAGCTGTTTGGGGTTTGGGGTTTGGGGTTTAGGGTTTGGGGTTTGGGGTTTAGGGTTTAGGGTTAGGGTTTAGGGGTTTAGGGTTTGGGGCGCAGGTCTAGGGTTTAGAGCTTAGGGTCTCGGTGTTGATTTAGGGCTTCGGGTCTACAGTAGTGGTTAGGTTTAGCGTTTAGGAGGGTGGTTGCGGATCCAGGATTTGCAGGGATTTTTGGGGTTCAGAGTTTATGGATACAGGAAGCGACTGAGGTTCTGATTTGAAGGAAAGGGTTTTCGGGTGCAGGGAGGTGTCTTCGCATATGCTGACTCAGGCTCGCTAGCAGGAATCTCACCAAACCCTTTCGCAACTCTGTAACGCCTTGGATAGACATTTGCAGAGCCCTCAACAAGGTGCCCAATTCTATGGCAGTCCGCGGCTAAATCCCAGCAATACCACATGTTGAGATAGAACACGGCCGACGCAAAACGCAGCTTGGAGGGGGATTGCTTTTTTTTGTTTCGGAGACAGGCCGTGGGTATAGGGTTTGGGGTTTAGGTCGAAAGAGCTCTAGGGCTCGGGCACTAAGCCGCGATGCCAGAGCCTGAAAACTAAAATTTCCTCTCCCTGCTAAGTCTGGAAATCAACAAACAGCAGTGTCAACGTGAAGTTGTACAACCTACGAGATCGACACACACACTGCGAAGGAAGTTTGCAACCCATAGCACAGGAAAACCGCCAAAAAAAAGAACAGCCCGTGCACCAATAAGCAGGAACTTGCCAAACTCAAAAACCTATACAAGTCCCTAGGAAGACAAGCTTGCGAAACGCGCAGCACTGCTGACATCAAGTACCCCTTGCTGGTCACGCAGTGGTTGGGTGGCGGTGTAAGGGGTTTAACGGGCTTCAGGGCTTTAGGGGTTTAGGGTTTAGGGCGGTGTAAGGGGTTTAAGGGGGTTCAGGGCTTTAGGGGTTTAGGGGTTTGGGGTTTAGGGTTTAGGGCTTTCGAGTTTAATGTTTAGGCTCTCGGGTTTAGGGCTTTCGGGTTTTATGAACCAAGGTTTAGGAGATTTGTTGCTTGGGTTCGGCATTTAGGAAGCTCTTCACTGACACACTGGAGGAAAGCACGCAGGATAGCAAAACAACCCCTAAACACTGAAAGATCCACCCTAAGCCCTGAAACCATCAAGGCCCTTATACTTACCTTTGGTTAGTAGGGAATGGAAGAATGGTAGTAATAGTAGTTATACTTGTACCCCATTCCTCCATTCCCTAGTAACCAAAGGTAAGTTATAGGATGATTAAGGCCCCTATATTATACTACCCTTATAGATCCCTTATAAAACCCCTTTTGATCCCTACTAAGGTATATAAGTATATCAAACCCGAGACAGCTGGCCGGAAATCCGAGATATGGTCCTCCACACTCTGCACGTGCAGCCCGCGGAGACGCGCCCGCTGCTGATTCAATAGGAGCCGGTATTTTGGGAAATCTCCGTCCTTCCTTCAGGGTCTTCTGATTGCGGGTTGTTCGAATAAGCCACAAGAATAGGGCTGAGGGTTTGGGATTATGGTTGAAGGAGGGACCACTGGGCAAAAGCCTCTGAGAGACCGTGACCTGCTGATGTTGCTCTTAGGGGACAGGTAATTACTTAAACGACCACCGCTAAACCCTAAACCGCTAAACCCCTAAACCCTGGGCCCAAATCAAACACTGTCGCCCGAAACCCGAAACCCAAAGCTTTTTCTGCTCAAGGGAGCCGAAGAGCTTGGAGAGCTTTGAAGGGGTTGAGGGTTAGAGTCCTAGGGTCTACCTGAACCAAATAACATACCTTTTTTAAGGTTACTTATTATGTTTCCTTTATAAGTCTCTAAAAAGGTGGCCTGAGAACTTGCACAAGTGCTAGACTCCTTGGTCCGTGTTTCAAGACGGGTCGAATGGAACTAATTGATCAACAATCCACACACACCTGAATCCCCAGCAGCACAAGAGTATCGCCACAGCAACACAGCATGAGCTAAGGGCCATCCTCACGTATGCATAGACGTTGATGTTCAAGCTGAGACACATTGCAAGCAACTACTTCAAACCAGACAAAGGACTTGCGTTCCAGAGCCCAGATGTCGCAGCCACTTGCAGCAATCTCAACCAGAGCACTAGTTCCATATTCGGGGTTAAGGTAGGGTTTAGGGGAGGAAGTCTCCAAGGAAAGAGCCAGTTCTTGCAGCAGAGCATCAACAAGGATGCGAGCTTGCCTCAGCTCTGGAGTGGCCGCATTTTAGTTTAGGGGCCCAAAAGCTCCAATGCCCCTTAACTCAGGAAAATGCCTTAAATCATAGGGATCCTACTGCAGTCTAAGGTATATTCCTTAATTAATGAAGGTTATTGGAGTCTCTGCGGAGATTGGTTCGAAGGTTAGACAACCCTGAACCCTAAATCCTAAACCCTAAACCTTAAATCCTAAACCCTAAAGCCTAAGCCCTAAAGCCTAAACCCTAAACCCTAAATCCTAAACCCGAAGAGACCGAGATGGGAACAAGAGCAAAGCCCTCCGAATCGAGGCTTGTGGCTCAGGATTCTTACTATGGTTTAGGGTTTAGGGGTTGAGGGATTTAAGGGTTGCGGGTTTAGGGGTTTAGGGTTCTGGGGTTTAGGGGTTTAGGATAACCCCGCAGCCTTGCTTAGCTCGGTTTCGGCAGACACTGAAACTACTAGGAGTGAGAGTACAAAAAAGATCGGCCCCAGAAACCCATATGAAACTGAATACGAAACATATGAAAAAAGGAAACCCCACGAAACCAAACGAAATCACAAGAAAAAGCACTTGCGTGTTTTTTCATGTCTTCGCATTTTCCCTAGAGCTCTCCAACATTCTGAGTGCAGCCAGCCGCAAAGGGGCACGGGACGGGCCCTGCTCAGACCGGATTTTTGACGGCAAGCGGCCCGATTCAGAAATTGTTGGGAGCTCCAAACGACATACGAAAATACTATGGAACAGGTATAATCTTTGAAAAACATGCAAACCCCAACAAAACAGTGAGTCACAAGAAAAGCCATGTGCACATTCATAGTCTTTTTGTGTTCCTAGAAACCCACCCTAAACCCTAAATCCTAAAACCCGAAACCCTAACCCTAAACCCTAAACCCTAAATCCTCACCCCTAAACCCCCAACCCCCAAAATTCTTGATTTCCGTGAGCAGAGGGAGGAACCGGACAAGCCTCCGTCTGCACCGGTTGACGGTAAGCAGTCGGAATCAGCACAGGGAACTCCAGAAAGTTGGAATATGGATTAATGGTAGGATCCCCTATAATTTACCTTAAAGGGGTTACGATAATGATATTCCAACTTTCTGGCTTCTACTGTAGTTTTGGAAAGCTCCAGGAAAGTACCAAAACTGTGAACACAATGCTAAAAACATCTAAACAGGATGAAAATCCCGTTGCAAACTTTAAAAAAACACCGAAACCCACCGAAATCACAATCACTGAACCCAAAACATACTTTGTTTCATATTGCTAGGCCGCAACCGTATTTGACCGTATATCTAAATTCAATCAGTCCGGGTGGGTAGCGGCTTGTGCAAAGGATGGTGGTCACTGATTTAGTAAACATAATTTAGTAAACATAATTACAACTCTATGAAAACCAAGAAACCTCCAAAACGATACTGACTTCTATAAACCCTGCACAAGACAAGATAGCCGCCGGTATCTCTTTTCTTATACATACTCCAGGACCCAGCTGCTCTTGAAGAAGTTGTTAAGCACTGGCGCGATGGCAAGGCGATCCGACTCCACTGTAAAGACTCCCTCGCCAGCAGATTTGACCTCAAGGGCTCGCGACTTTGAGTACTGCTACAACCACTACGACCACGAGCACACGACGAAGGCGAGGACGACGACAAGAAGAGGACGAGGACAAACGCTGCGACCACCAATAGCAAGTAGTACCCTGCTGTACTTGGCGGGACTACCACGACGAGTAGGACGAAGCAGAGCAGTGCTGCTGTTGCTCTCGTTTGCATCCTTACCACCAGCACCACCACCACCACCACTACGACTAATCCTATCACTACCGCAACGACTACTACTCCTACTCCTACTCCTACTCCTACTCCTACTCCTACTCCTACTCCGACTCCTACTCCTACTCCTACTCCTACTCCTACTCCTACTCCCACTCCTGCTGCTACTGCTACTGCTACTGCTACTGCTACTGCTACTGCTACTGCGACTGCGACTGCGACTGCGACTGCGACTGCGACTGCGACTGCTACGAGGAAGGAGTTCGCAATGGTCGTGGCCCCTTCTTGGCCGTGAATTCAGATAGGGGCCTTACAGTCCAGGAGTTCTACTGGGTCTATGCCCCAAACCTTCAAACCCTAAACTCCTCACTCTGGGTTGAGGGTTTAGGGTGTGCCAAACGAGAGCGTGCTTGCTCAGGATCGACAGCCTCCAGACAGACCCAACCCAAGACAACCCCCTTACAACAACTCTCAATGCTTGAAGCTTTTTATACTTCTTGCAACACTTCTCAAGGCACATATCCACATATCTCATCCATACGATGTTTCTTCCTGCTGGGCCCTTCCCCTGTGCAATGCTGCGCGGCATTGATTTCAAATGGCGACGACTTCGGCCGAAGGGTTTCCGCATCGGCAGTCTTGGATGCAAAGCACCTGTCGTCTTGTAACCCCGTCGTTTTGGGGTCTTGCTCATAGGCATGTCGGCGACGTCATCGTCATGGTGATTCCTGCTACGCTCGAAGACGTTCGTCCCTACAACTGCGCTACATGAAATCTCTTTCGGTGCCAGGGTCACTTAGCCAACCCCGAACACGGTCACTTGGCCAATCGGAAACCGTATCATGTTTCAGGTCACTTAGCAAACCCCGTGCGGTCACTTAGCCAACCCTAGGGTTTAGGGTTTTAGGTTTTAGGGTTTAGGGTTTAGGGTTTCGGGTTCAGGGTTTCGGGTTCATGCTTTCCTTTTAGGGTTTAGGGTTGAGGGTTTAGGGTTTCCTTTCAGGGTTTAAGGTTTAGGGTTCAGGGTTTAGGGTTTCCTTTTAGGGTCTAGGCTTTAGGGTCCAGGGTTTAGGGTTTAGGGTTTCCTTTTAGGGTTTAGGGTTTAGGGTGTACGGTTCAGGGGGTTTTGGGTTTAGGGTTTCTTTTCAGGGTTTAGGGTTTAGGGTTCAGGGTTTAGGGTTTTGGGTTTCCTTTCAGGGTTTAAGGTTTAGGGTTTAGGGTTTCCTTTTCGGGTTTAGGGTTTCCTTTCAGGGTTTAAGGTTTAGGGTTTTGGGTTTCCTTTTAGGGAAGTTTAGGCTTCACGGTTTAGGGTTGAGGGCTTAGGGTTTAGGGTTTCCTTTTAGGGTTTAGGGTTTAGGGTGTAGGGTTTAGGGTTTTAGGTTTTAGGGTTTCGGGTTCAGGGTTTCGGGTTTATGCTTTCCTTGTAGGGTTTAGGGTTGAGGGTTTAGGGTTTCCTTTCAGGGTTTAAGGTTTAGTTCAGGGGGTTTTGGGTTTAGGGTTTCCTTTTAGGGTTTAGGGTTTTGGGTGTAGGGTTCAGGGGGTTTTGGGTTTAGGGTTTCTTTTCAGGGTTTAGGGTTTACGCTCTCGCAACTCGGACACTGCCAGACGAGGTTCTTGGTGCGCACAGTCAGACTAAAGGCTTCACTCAGCTCCTCAGCGAAAACAAGGCAACAAAAGTTAGAGCCACATAGTACAGGAGTGAGTAAAGCCTAGGGTTTAGGGTTTAGGGTTCAGGGTTTAGGGTTTTTTTCCCTCCTACCAGCGTTTTGGGTTTCCTTTGAGGGTTTAAGGTTTAGGGTTTAGGGTTTCCTTTTAGGGTTCTTTGTTGGGCTTCCAACACCTGTGAAAATGAGCGTGCCAAGCGACCAAAACTGGAGCGTGCTAAGCGACCCGAAAAAAAGTTGGCTAAGCGACCCCTCTACCTCTCTTTCTGCGCATGGGATCGTCCGCCTACCCCGGCAGGCGGGTAAACTCCCAAACCTAAACCTACTCCCGAAACCCTGAACCTAAACCCCACACCCTGAACCCTATAAAGCCCTAAATCATCTAAACCCAAAAAGCGCTTGCAAGGAGCCGAAGTTTCCACTTTCATCTCCAGATGCACTGGGCTCTTGACCTCCGTGGGGATCTCTTTGGGGCAGACGGGCTTTGGCTTTAGAGTCTAGGATTCATGGTTTGGGAGTTAGGCGTTAAAGGGTTGGAGTCTATTTTGGTGGTTTTGCGCAACAAGGGGCAGTTAGGTCCGTCAAGGGCTTAGAGTTTAGGGGGTTAAGGACTTCAGGCAGCAACACGACGGGTTCAGGGCGTTGGGTCGTGGATTCAGGCGGCTAAAGCCTGGGGTATACGGTGCTGAATTTGAGGCATGGGATACCGACGGCTTTGGCGCCCAAACTGGATAGGCGTCTCGACTTCGGGACTTGGCTTGGAAGCTCAGAGGTTGCAGCTAGGGTTGGGTTTAGGGTTTAGGGTTTAGGGTTTAGGGTTTAGGGTTTAGGGATAGGGCTTAGGGTTTCTTTGTACAGGCATATCGGCGCAGATGGCACGTGCGTGCTCATGTATAAGTTTAACAATGGAGGCTCAATGTCTCTTTTGCCTAAAATAAGGGCCTTAACAATTACCTACACTATTTTGAGGTTTCCTTCTTACAGTTATAGCATAATGGGCCCCAAGACCCTATTCTAACTATTAAGGCCCCTATATTACGGCTTATGGCTCATGGATGAAAGCTCCGGGCTCCGGTCTCAAATGTAAGGGCCAGAAGAGCTGAAAACTTGGAACCGAGAAAATGCAAAGGACACAAATGCCACTGTACAAACCAGGACCTCACCAACAGCCGCCCAAGAACTTCAGTCCCTGCACCACAGTAGAAGATAGGATCTGTTCTCGAAATCCTGAACCCTACACCTGGAAAGCTAAATCCCCTCCTATATCGTCTCTAAACTCTAAACCCTAAGCCGAAATCCGAAACCCTACACCCTGAATCGAACCCCTAAACCCCAAAGCCTGACTCTAAACCCTAAATCCAATCCTACACCCTAAACGCCGAACCCTGAACCCCCAGCGGGGTTTGACAAGCTTTCGGATTCGCTGCCGGGGTTGCTTCAGGGATAAACCGGAATGCAAGGAATAAAAGATAAGAACCATTCAGCAAAGCAAGGCGCGCAAACCAAGCCCTAGACTCTAGACACTTAACCTTGATTTGAATCCGCGAAAAGCCGTAAACGCTAAGACACGGCACCCTAAGAACCCTAAAGCCCTGACCCTCAAACCGTAAAATCCTGAAACCCTAAAGCCCCAAACCCGAAAACCCGATATAAAACCCTCGACCCTAAAGCCTAAACCCTAAACCCCTGAAGCCCGAAAACCTCCAAAACTGCAGCTAAAACCCCAAACCCTCTAAAGGCGTAAACCAAACCTCTAAAACTCCGGAACACCAAAACCCCAACCCCCTACATCTCTGAAACCCCAAATCCTAACCCCGAAAACTCTGAAACCCTCAACCCTGAAACCCGAACGGCCGGGGAACTAAGATGCAGTCTGGCACTTTCGAGGACAACTCCTGGGCTTCGACTAAGTAACCAAAGAGAAAAGAGAGCAAAACTCATGTTTCATAATGGCCCCTTTAAGGAACAGGTACCAAAAGACGTTAAAGCATGGTATAAACTCTATTGCATAATGGTTCCTTGTTTCTTAAATTAAGCACAGGTACCAAAAAAACAACAAAATGTAAGACTGCAGAACCCTAAACCCTCAACCTTAAACCCTAGGTTCACGCACCGCCAGCTCCACACGACACCAGCCACCTCAGCAGTTGCTCCAAAGGAGGGCTGCGAAGGTTTCATCTGCGGCTTAAGCGATAGGGCTTAGGGCTTCAGGATTAGGTTTTAGGGCTTGCTTTATGGGGTCTAGGGTATCGGGCTCATGCTTTTAGGATTTCGGGTTTAGGATTTAAGGCTTAGGGTTTACGGTTGAGGCCTTCGGGTTTAGGGCTTGAGGGATTAAGGTCTAGCAGTTGAGCCTCAGAATTGGGGGCTCAGGGGAGTGGTTCACGGTTTTGGGGTTCAGGCTCTTGGAAGCTGGGCGTCGGGGAGTTGGCACATTGTAGAATCCTCAATAGATCGAGATCGAGCTATACAGTTATGCTGCTGAAATATACCGAGGACCGTATTCCAACGAGGATTTTCCATAGTATCGAACCCCTAAAGATCCCTTATGGAATCCACTTCAAAGGAACCCGCTAAGGAACCCTGCAAAGAAGCCAACTCTAACACTTGGGAAGGCCAGGCAGTTTCAACTTGATGCAGAATATAGGGCATCAATACTTGGAGGTTCATGGACTTAGTAAGTACAGTTATAAGTACCTTAACTGGGGTTATAAGTAATCAAAAGTATAGTTACCTTATTTATAACCCTAGTTACTAAGTCCCACGAACCTCCAAGTAGAGGAATAGGGTGGCGCGCTGTAGTATACCATGGCAAGGAACCTGAAGCAGTCCTGTCAGTAGTTACTCGGGCTTCTGCTCAGAGCTTGAGTGGTGGGAACGGCGGTGATAAGAATGTAACCACAGAGGGATAATGATAGTATTCTGTTTCTCATTGTGAAGACCTCTGTAGTTGGTTTTCCGTGTTGAGGGCTCAGAGTCGGAGTTTCAGGGTATGACGCGTGAACCGAGGCTGAAATCTTGGGCGGAGGCTCCAGTGTTCAGTGAAGTTGAGAGGCATATCAACCGGGACCCTAATACAGACCCGAATAGTGGCATCCTCTATCTGAGCATCGACCCCTAAACCCTAAACCCTAAACCCTAAACCCTAAACCCTAAACCCTAAACCCTAAACCCTAAACCCCCCAAAACAGAAGCCCAGAGGCCCTTCTCCCCCTCCAAGAAGAGAACTACCCCCCCCATTTTCCGAGCAGATATAGCAAGGCACGATTTGACCATGTGGAGTGGCTCAAGAGGCTTTGCTTCCTTGCAGCGCGAGCCGTAGGAGGATGAAGAACTGACGATTGTGATGCTGATGCTGGTTTGCATGCTGACTGAGGTGGATGATGGATCTGATGCCCATCACGACGACGACGGTGGCGAATATAATGAGTGTGGTGACGATGATGAGGAAGGTGACGACGACGAATACTGTCTCGATGAACTCGTACTGTGGTACGGCGTCCTTCACGGCGAAGCTGGTCACTGTCGTCGCGCAAAGTTCGGCTGATGCTGCGGAGTTCGACTCTTTTGCCCTGCTTTGTGTAGCTGCTGCCACAATGTACCATACATAACATGTCATATGCAATATACCACTAGAACATACGACGTCTTCTGTAAATACGTACCGCACTATCTGTGACCTAATGCGATGTGTATGTGTATATATAATAAAAAAAATATATTCTAAGAGTCTAGGACATATAGTATGATATATGCTGTTTTCTGAAAAGGTGCTATACATCCTGTATTATGAAACATCTTTAACACATCCTATACAGTGACAATATAGCATCATCGAAGGATCTAGCTCTACGGATGTTTCCAGAAGAGCATGAACGTGGCCGACACTTCCAGCCCTAAACCCTCAAGCCCCACCCCCTCCCCCAAACCCCTGACACAGCATGGAGTGGTGCCGTGATGCCAAGCTGCTTCGGCAAGAAGCACTAAAGCTTTGGGTCCTGATTTTGAAACACCTTTACATATCTTTAAACTCTCAACTAGAAAGCTCGAAGTCCTAAGCACACTACATGTATGCGTAAATACATAAAGATATAGATATAGATATTATATAGATATAGATATAGATATAGATATAGATATAGGTCTAGATATAGATATAGATCTAGATATAGATATAGATACAGATATAGATATAGATATAGATATAGATATAGGTCTAGGTCTAGGTCTAGATATAGATATAGATATAGATATAGATATAGGTCTAGGTCTAGGTCTAGGTCTAGATATAGATATAGATATAGATATATATATATATATATATGTACATTTACATATATATATATACCGATATTATACACACAGGCATTCCCCCATGTCACAGAAATCATCTTAGGAACCGACAGGTCCAAGCGGCTCCCTGCTTGTCAACACTGGACAGAGGGCCAAAAAGATATCGCTCTGCTTGATGTAGGCCGGAATGCCTAGGATACCCAGGGATCTATAGGGCTCCTTAAAGGGGTCTATAAGGGATCTATAGTAGGGTTCTATAATATAGGGATTAATATACTAGGATACCCAGTAACCTAAGAAAAAAAGGCCTCTCTTTTTGGTATTGGGTAACTTTATAAGGAACCTAGGACTACAAAAAGGGAATAAGGGTACTACTGGGCATCCTAGATGCTATTCACGGCATCACGGAGCGCAGACTTCTCCATGGGAACACCTGGATTTTCCTGGCCTTCCAGCTGTGGACCTGGAGCTGCTGCACTGGGCTTGGAATCTTTTGCAGCGAAGGGGTGCGAGGAGGTTTAGAGCTTGGACTTACGGCTGAGACTCTTAAATTTACCGAAAACCACCACTTCTACTGAAGCTAAATACCTCAAACCGACACTGAAAGCCGTTTCCGATGCCCCCTGCACTACAATACTATTCTAAACCCCGACCTAAGCACCCCTAAGTTCCCTGAACCCCAGCCCCTCAACCCTCAACACAAAGAGCTCAGGCAGAGTAGAAGTAGTCGGGGCTCCCTCATATGGCGGCAAAACCAGGCACAGGAGAAGTAGTTCCAAAACCCTCCGACTAGAATTTTCGCACCAAATCAAGAAAAAACTCAAAACCCTCTGGTTCGAGGCACACTTAAGTAGTCCCTAAACTCGACAACCCTGAACCCCAAACCCTAAGGCTAAGGCGCAGTGCCCCGGGGAAGTAATCCTGAAACCCGAAGCCGTAGGTAGCACGCTGAAGATAACTGTGGCATAGTGACCGGAACTCAAAATCCTATTCTTCAAAGCACAAGAGACGTAGTCCCTCAACCCCAAACCCTAACCACTAAAGTACAAGACAAGCGGTGTCACAAGATTTGTCTATGGGCTCTGTCAGAAAACTCCAAAACGAGGCACGGGAGAAGTAGTCCCGAAAACCTTCGAAGACAACTGTAGTACAAAATGCCTCAAAACCCACTTCTTCGAGGCACAAGAGAAGTAGCAGTCAAGCGCTAAACCCCACTATCCCTTGTGGGTTCCCTCGTAAAACTCTCTAAAACGAGGCACAGGAGAAGTAGTCATACCAAAAGAAGATACGGTCAGCGCTGGCAAGTGCGCAGGTCGACTCGGCAGCTTTCGAGAGCCCGATAGACCTTTGACAGTTGGGACTCTAAACGCTGTTTTGTTCAGTTTACTCTAGGGGCTTGAATAATTACCTATACCAGTTTCGGGGCTTCCTTATTATGATTATAGTATAATCGGCCCCAAAACCCTATGTAGAGGGCGCTATGGGGCCGTATCGGGTTGATGTACAGGGCCTTTTCGGTTTCACAAGCAGAGGTTTCTTGGATTTAGGGTTTAGGGTTTAGGGGTTTAGGGGTTTAGGGTTTAGGGTTTAGGGTTTAGGGGTTTAGGGTTTAGGGGTTTAGGGTTTAAGGTTTAGGGTTTAGGGTTTAGGGTTTAGGGTTTAGGGTTTAGGGGTTTAGGGTTTAGGGTTTAGGGTTTAGGGTTTAGGGTTTAGGGGTTTAGGGTTTAGGGTTTAGGGTTTTTGATGGGGAGGGTCTTGTCTACTCTAGGGACGGCTAGGAAGGGGATGTTGCTGCTGTTTCTTATACCCCAAACCCGAAACCCAAACACTACGGTTGATGATATAAATCCTGCATTACCCATAATAGGGAATATACCATAATTCCCATAGTTTAGGGTCCTTAAGGTAATGCAGGATTTATATCATCAACCCTAAACCCTAAACCCTGTAGATCCCTTAAAGGAAGCCCTTAAAAGGTACCCCTATAGATCCCTTTAAAGGAACCCTAGGGATATATATCATCAACCGCATTGCAGGGATCCTTTGCTTTGGGGCTGCGGGACTCTCTGACGGGGTTGGGGATTGTCGCAGGCTAAGGGCTGAAAATCTGTGGGGTTCTTGGTTTGGGGCTTAGGGTTAAGGGTTTAGGGTTTAGGGTTTAAGGTTTAGGGTTTAGGGTTTAGGGTTTATTAGGGCTTGGTGCTTCGGGGTTGTTAGTTTGTTCAGGGTAGGGTTTCGGGTTTCAGGTTCAAGGGTTGGGTTTCAAGCTCGGGAGTGTCAGCAGTCAGGGGTTCCGGGAGTTAGGTGGGTTTGAAGGTCAGGGCGGGATAATATGGCATAAAACTGAGGCGTGATACTTAGAATAGGGTTTTGGAATTTGTCGTAGTACAGTTATCATAAGGAACCCTAAGGGGTGGTATCAGTAGTTATTTGGGATTCTATGTTCTGACTCCTGCTGCTTTCCTAGGCAAGTGTTACAAGCTCCTCAAAGCTGCAAAAGCCTGCTCACCAAGCTGTAGGGGCAATTCGGTGGGCATGTCCACCATGACCCTTGCCTTGGACGCGCTGAAGGCAACTTGAAGGTTGAGGATATAGGACTTAGGGCTTTGGGCTTACTTGGAGGTTCAGGGGTAGTTATAAGTGAGGTTATAAGTCCCCCAAGATGGGTTCTAAGTATAGTTACCCTACTTATAGCCCCGCTTATAACTCCCCATGAACCTCCAAGTAGGGTTTAGATCTAGGAATGAGGGTTTTGAGTTTATCCGGGCTTAAAGTTGTTGGCTTGGGACTTGCTTTGTGGGGTTCAACGCGCAAGCCTCCGCGGCAAACCAGATGTGCTGTGGGGTTTGGTCCTGCTAAAGAACATAACCCTAAGGCTAAGGGACAGTGTTAGTTACAAATTCTTCAGGCCTTGCATTAGCCCTGGTGGTGGCCGAAGGTTGCTAGGCGGTTTGTCCCACAAAGGAGCAGCTTTCCGCGCCGAGCTCTCGATTTTGGGCTTCAGGTTGACACGTGTCTACCAAAAAAAGGGCTTTAAGCCAATGTCGACCGCTTTTTAACCCTTCATAACATCCAAAAGGAATCTTTATTCATAACATACCTACACAGCCCTTAAGCCTGTTTGAGCGGAGGCGCCTCGCCAGACAAAACATTCCGCAGCGCATCTTGGAGCACCCGGAACTGCCTCATGTCTGGATCCGGGTGCCGTTTGCCAGCCCATTCCTGGGTCGAAAGCGGCTTCTGCGGCCAATCCCTAAACCCTAAACCCCTAAACCCCCAAACCCCCAAACCCCTAAACCCTAAACCCTAAACCCTAAACCCCTAAACCCTAGACCCTAAACCCCCAAACCCTAAACCTCTAAACCCCTAAACTCTAAGGCTCCTCGGTTGAGCTTTAGGTTGAGGGATTGTGATGATGATGATGATTAGGGTTTAGGGTTTAGGGTTTAGGGTTTAGGGCTTCGGATGCTTCGAAAGCCTCGGTATCTGGCACCACGGGGGAAGAACCCCAGAGGCCGAACATATGGGAGTTTCCGAAAATTAGGGTACCTTTAAAGGGATCCATAAGGGTTCCTTAAAGGGATCTATAAGGGTTCTATAAAGGGTTTAGGGTTTAAGGGAGTTGCCGAAAATTAGGGGCACCTTATTTTGGGGTCCTCAGAATAAGGATCCTACTATTTAGGGTACTAGATTAGGGTCCCGTTTTTTTCGGAAACTCTCATATCGCTCTGACAGGACTTTAAGCTTTAGACTTTTCGAGGGGAAGCCGCCGGGCCAAAACAGCAATCAAACGCTTTACGTCGTAAGAAGCCCCGGTTTAGGGTTTAGGGTTTGTTCAGTACTACTATGATCTTGGCGATTAGGGATCAGGGTTCAGGAGTTTAGGAGTTTAGGAGTTTAGGAAGGAGGATCTCACAGAAATCCTGAGAAACGGATCATATCTTCTGCTCTGAAAAATCGACAAAACAAAACTTAAAAGAAAGACTAAGCCCCAGAAATCTCCAGAGCCCTCGAACCCCATACCGCCAGAAGTGGAGCGAGTATTTTTTTTGTCTATTTTTCTGGTTTTTTTTTGTCTATTTTCCTGGTTTCACCTCTGTTTCCCTTGGTTTTTGGACTCTAGCCTGGTGGCCGTGGCCGTCCGCCACCTCCGACTGGAATTCTTTTTTGTCTATTTTTCTGCTTTTTTTTTGTCAATTTTTCTGTTTCCCTGCGTCCCAAAGCTCTCCGCTCCTCTCGCAACCTCTCATGTTTCCAAGCTTCCCAAAGCTCTCCGCTCCTCTTGCAACCTCTCCACCCCACGAAGGACTGTGTTGGCAGGTCATTTCCGCTTGTAAAGCTGCATGCGACCCTCGCCCCAGATGCCCATGCACAAACCTACTTGTAAACCATGCATCCTGCTAAGCACACGGACTGCAGGACGCTACATTTTCTCACCGGCTGCGCGGCCGTGCTCCAGCGGCTCGGAAAGACTTCCGACGAGTTACCTCGGATTGGCCAACCGCAACCTAATCGGACAACGTCTCTTCTCAGGTCGAACAGTGCGAGGGTGGCGTGTGCTTGCATGATACAGACTACGCACGACATGCTGTGTACGTTCAAGCACATCTGACAACTTGCTGCCTGGGCGGCTTGGAGTGTCGCCGAGCAAGGTCCAACAGGGCGGCGATGGTCGTCACACGGGCATCCTCAGTTCTTTCTGTTCTTCTCTACTGGAGCGATCGACATTCGTTCCCATCTCTTCTTCTGGACTGGAGCGCTTACATGCCTTGCACAAGCGCCAACTTTAGCGGCTACTATAACTGTGTCACCGCCCAGACTCTTTAGCGAAAAACAGACAAACTACCGTGGCTGCAGTCAGGTGACAGCCTTCACGCCGAAATGGCTGGCTAAGGCTCGCAATGTGCGGAAATGGCCAGGGCCGGCGGCTCTGGCGGACGCAGATCCGCGAGCGTCCCAGGGCATGTCCCACAGAACGTCGTGTGTGAGTGAGGCCAGCAAGGCCTGGTCCTCTGCTGTGAGGGCTGGCGCCTGCCCTCGTGGTTCTTCTTCCGCTACATGGGCTTCTCGGTGGGTGACCGACCAGGCTGCAGGGTCCGTGCCCGCCATCACATTGCTCATCACTTGCGAGGTCAGGACTGGGGCTGACCTGTTCGCAGCGACGTGAGGGCGGAGGGCAGTGACTCCTGTTGCGGGCGTGCTGGCTGTGGCCATTTTAGGCTTTGTCTTCGGTCTCGCCTGCTGCGGATGAAGCAGCTCCAGCAACTTCAGAGCCTGGGGCAATGAAAACCCCGCATCTTGGCGCAAGTGAAATCGTCCAGGCAAAGCACGCCAAGAGCCTGCAAGCGGCTCGCCCGCACCGGCACCACAGCTTCTGGGCACACAGCCGACAAGACGGTGAGCAGCTCCTCGGGTATGGAGCATGGGCCAGGAGAAGCGCTCGAGGCGGGTGCAGCAATGCCGGGACCCGGGACGGTGCGATTCTCGGGTTTATCGTGCCGTGGAACGGCAGTGCCAGCCGGTCTGCCAGGTTTTTTCCGGGGGGCCACGCAGACCTTGCTGCTGAGCTGCGGTAGCTGCAAGTGCAGCAAGGCGGCATACAAATGCTCGCAAGGCCCATGGAGAGCAGCTTCGTGACAAGAGCACAGACCTTTGGAGTGGAGGTTTTCCGCTCTCCCGCCCCTCTCACCTGGAACGGTCCTCCAGTAGAGCTCCGCATGGGGTCCGACTGCAACCAGGGTCCAGCGCCCGAAAAGTTCCTTGGCTCGGGGCCAATCGGAGATCCGAGGTGCTCCGCGCTCACCGGTCGTGAGGCCCAGCGACTGCAGAGCGGAGCGCAAGCCAGCTTCATCTCTGGCGGTAAAGACATTCGCCATCAGGCGAACAGTGTCCGGGGGCAAAGGCTCCACAGCACGGCGGACATACTTCGACACTTTGGGTGTGCTGGCTGCTTCGTCCTTCTTCAGCAAGGACCGCGGAAACAAAAACCACGAAGTGCCTTCTGAGTCTCGCCAAGTTTGCCACGGAGACTGCGCGAGCAAGGTCTGTGCACATGTGCGCCCATTCACCCCGAGCGCAGCATCGTCGGACAGACATGTCAGGTCTACGCTCGAGTCCGAGCCAGGCCAGTCATGCAAGACCGGGTTCTCGGTCCGCAAGTATTGCAGCCTAGAACGTACGATTGTCTGCAGATCCTCTGCCAGGGCATCCGGTGTACGGATGGTGTGGCCGTCCGTGACACGTTTCAGAACGTGCTTGTGCCAGCTTTCCTGTGGCGCGCTGCCGCAGGCGCTGCCCGGCTGTAGCCGGTCGTAGGACGCCCGCCAGCGGGCTGAGAAGACAGGCCCATCTGCGTCTTCGTGCTGACAAAGGTAGTGGTCGGCTGCCGCCGCTGCTGCCTCACGGCACCCCCACTCATCATGCATGACCTTCAGTAATGACTGCCATACCACATGGAACAACCGTCCGGGCAATGTTCGGCTAGCATACACCCAGGACATGATGAACTTCAGACGCGCACTTTTCTCAGCAACATCAACACCTTGTAGGCGCTCAGCAAGAAGCTTTCGGATGCCACCCATGCCGTGGGGCGCAGTCGCACCAACCACATGCGCCCAGTCATCGACGGCGGCGGCTCTGTGGGCCAAAGTCTCGCGCGCTTTGCGAATGCCGAGGTGCATATCTGCGTGCCACTGACGAACGGCTTCAAGAGTGGCTGGGGCACCGACTTCCTCTGCGATTTTATAAATCGCAGATACAAGCCTGGAGTAGGAGTGCTCGCTCTCCTTGTGGGCTATGGCAAACCCGACCTCATTGAACGTCGACGCACACGGCTTGTGGGGACTGTCCTTCTTCCACTCAGACCAATGTTTGGAAAGCACGCCCACGGTAAGCAATGCATAGTTCCCGAACAGGAGTCGATACGTCCCGTCCAGGCAGAGTTTAACATACTCTGGGTTGCTCAGCCGACCGAAGGTCTCTTTGATGAGTGTCGGGCATAGCAAAGGAATGCTGGTGTTCATTCCATCGATGACAGCATCCATGGGCAACAAACCGTCAAAGGTCCCGTAAGAAAAATCGGGCTTGTCAGTTGCTGCCTTGAGACTGGCAACGAAAGCGTGGAAATCCTTTTCCTCCCACAGCTGGGCTCGTGGCTTCTGCTTTGTTTTGAGCTTCGCGTTGCGCCGCTTGGCCCAGCCCAGCAGAAAGGATTTCTTGGGCGGACTAGGGAGCGGGCTTCCAGGACCTGCCGCTCGGGGGTTGCACAAGATGTCATACGCATCACCGCCGCGTAGACCGCCTGGCTGCGATTGCAAAAGGCGCAACTGAGCTGTGCTCAGGCCGCTTGCTGTTTTGCGCACTTTGGGCGCATGCCTCTCAGGGGGATCGCCCGTCAGCCTGACCTGGCGAGCCTCGATGTCGTACTCTGCCTGGCCGCGCCATGGACACTGTGCACCGCCGCCTGTTTCATGGCTGTTGCATTGAAAACGACAGAGAAGCCGCATCTTGTTCTTAAGAGTATGCAAGCGGGTTTGGACTCGGATGGCTTCCCGTGGCGGCCTGTCCAAGAAGAATTTTTTGACTTGCTGCTGCAGGCCCTTGCCTGACCATGCCTCTCCGCCATGTTTCCAGGCACCAAGGACCTCGCTGAAGCGCGATTCCGTCTTGCGCTTGCGCCCAACTTTGCTGGATGCTTCTCGGGGCTCTCCGTGCTCGGAAGACTTTGAAACCCATACCTCGACCTCCCGCTTCGCCTCTATGTAAACGGCAAAGCCCTTCCAGGCACATGTTTGGGGCTTGCAGTCTTGGCACCGAAGTTTAAAGCTCCCTGCACGAGCCATGGCGTAAGCTGCGATCTTGCCAGGGAGCGGTGTGTCCGGGGTGCCGTCATGAGCATGGACAGCAGCTTGCAGAACATCTCTTATGTTGCGTGCGGTGGGGCAGCGGGCACGGGAGGCGCTGAGCTCCTTGACGTGGGTTTCTGCCATGTCACGGTACCACTTTGTCGGACCACCTTTCGTTTTCGACAATTGGCCCGCTGGTCTTTTTGCGACAGCCTTTGCAGCGGGTCGCTTCATGCCTCCACTCATTGGCGGCAAGCTTGACCTTGGCCACGCAGCAGTAGGGACGCCCAAGACAGTCAACAAGGACGTAATCTGTGGCGTTAGCGGATTTCTGTGAAAAGCGAC